GCTCTATAGAGGTGTCCGATGGGTTACAACCATTAACCCCCGACACGCAGCGGATCGATCGTGACCTTTGTTGCAAAATTGGCCTTTGTAGACAGGTGTCTGTTATATAAAGGTGTCTGCTAGAGTTCCCGATAAGTCGTTGTCGTGAAACAACCGACACGCAGCGCTGATCGAGCGTGACCTTTGTTGCAAAATTGGCCTTTGTAGACAGGTGTCTGCTAGCGTTTCCGATATTAAAGTCGTCGTCGTGAAACAACCGACGCGCAGCGTTGATCGATCGTGACCTTTGTTGCAAAATTGGCTTTTAGACGAGGTGTCTGTTTAGGTTTCCGATATTAAAGTCGTTCGTCGGTGAAACAACCGACGCGCAGCGTTGAATCGATCGTGACGCTCTCTCGTGTTGCAGAGGTCGTTGAGCCGGTGCTGCCCCCTCCCGACAGCCTGAGCGTGCAGTTCTCGCAGCGCGCGGTGTTTGTGATCGAGGATGCGGATGCTGACAGACTCACGGCTAGCTTCTGGCTGGGAAGCCCCGCGGCAGACGACTCCGACAACGAGCTCGACATGGTGAGTGCGGCGCTGCGTGCGCATCGCCATGACAACGCGCGTCGTCACGCGACGATGTGTTGCCATGACAACGCGTGCCGTCGTGCGATGGTGACGCGTTGTTACGACAACGCATGTCGTCACGCGATTATGACGTGTTGTCGTGGCAACGCCTGGTGTCGCAGGCAGAGACTACTTTTGTACAATCAGCGATCCTTGTTACCTTTACATTGATATTGTTGACATTGTGTAAAATAACTTGTACAATATATATGTACTTTTGGAAATAAATATATGTCGTTATAAAAAAACCTTCTCTGCAGGAGCCTGAGGAACCTGATAGCTCGTTGTCAGAGAAGCTGTGCCCTGGCTTCACCTTTGAGGAACTGGAGAAGAGGCAAGCGGGGCTCTGCCTGAGAAGGTGGGCCCTTAAAGAGCCAAACCTGAGGTGAGCGAGCGCCGATCTCGAGTAGACGACCACTGGCACCCTTTATCTCAGCGTTTACTTTGTGTGTGTGTGTTTGTTGTGTGTGGGTGTGGGTGGGGGGTGGTCGCTGCGTGGTGTGTGTGTAGTGCGTGCGTGGCGTGCGTGCGTGCGTGTGTGGTTTATGGCCCAGGTTGTAGGCTTGTGCGTGTGCAGGTAATGTGTGGGCGTGCGTCGCGTGTGTGGGTTGTATGCAGGTGTACACTTGTGGCGTGTGCAGGTAGTGTGCGTGCGTGCGTGCGTGCGTACGTGGCCGTGCGTGTGAACACTGTGTATAGAGGGATGGGGAGAGAGAGACAAGAAAAAGTTTGGAAATAAATGCATAGAATATCGAGTGTGTTTGGTTGTTTGAATGCAGGCAGATGATTTTTGCTTCAACTTGCCCCGCAGACTCCTTTGATAGTGTTGCCCGTCTGGACCTAAGTTACAATTATATGGGGTGAGCTATAGAATTAGAAGAGTTTGTGCAATGTAGCAACACATTTCATTCTGGGTTTTTACTTATGCAGTGATGGCAAGGATATCAAGATGAAGAAAGGTCCGGGTGACAGACAAGCAGGAAGGATGTTGGTGAGTAACGCGCAAGTCACATTCACAAGCAGTGCGCCTCTATGAATAAACACTATTGACACTTAGTGAGTTGAAAACATTTAATAACTTTTTTATGCACTATTAATCTTGGCTATAATCATAGCTAATATCCATTTGATATCAAGTTCTTATCGTGTTCGGCAAAGGCGAATTTGTCTGGCGCTATATATGGTATTTAGTACAATGTTTAGCGATAGATCTATCTTGTTATGGATGTCTGTGTTTAAATTGACCTACATGCCTGGTAGATTGACCGTAGTTCGACGCCTACGCATTGGCAGGATTTTCAAAAAAGCAATGCTTAGCAACAAAGTGGCTGCGATATCTGGTAATCATAAAAACAGCAAACCGAGTGATCCAGCTTGCATCCATAGCCAACAGTATCCAGAGAGTCTTCTCATCTCTCTTCCATCAGCTTTGCTCGCCTCAGTTGCTCTCTCATACAGTCTCTCTCCCTGCAAGTCTTGCTCTGCATTGCAGTCCTCTTCTCGTCTGCTCTCTCGTCCTCTTTTTCATGCAGTCTCCTCTAGTCTCTCTCCTCAGTCTCTCGCTCATACAAGTCCTTTCTGCATCAGTCTTCTCCTTCAGTCTGCGTCGCTGCGCTCAGTCTTCTCTCATGTCAGTCTCTCTGCTCATGTCTCTCTCATCAGTGGTGTCCTCTCTCCTCAGTCTCCTCTCCTCGGTCTCCTTGCATTCAGTCTCTCTCATCAGTCTCTGCTCATCGTGCCTCTTCTCCTCAGTCTCTCTGCATCAGGTCTCTCTCCTCGGTCTCTTCCTCAATCTCTGCATGCATCAGTCTCTGCTGCCTCAGTCTCTGCTGCCTCAGTCTCTCTCGCTCAGTCTCTTTCCTCAGTCTCTCTTCTCAGTCTCTGTCTGCATGCAGTCTCTCTCCCTCAGTCCTCTGCTCATCCGGTCTCTCCCTCAGTCTGCGTCCGTGCAGTCTGCTCTCTCAGTCTCTCTCATCAGTCTCTTCTCAATACACGTCTGCTCATCAGTCCCTCTTTCCTCAGTTCTCTCTCCTCAGTCTTTCTGCGCTCAAGGTCTCTCTCCTCAGTCGTGCTCTCTTCAGTCTCTCTCCTCAGTTTTCTTTCCTCCTCGTCTCTCTCCTCGGTCTCTCTCATCAGTCTCTCTCCTCGTCTCTCTGCATCAGTCCTTCTCATGCAGTCTCTGCTCATCGTCTCTCTCCGCTCAGTCTCTCTCATCACTCCTCTCATCATAACTCTCATCCTCCAGTCTCTCCTCATCAAGTCTCTCTCCTGCAGTCTCTCTCATCACTCTCTCATCAAACTGCTCTGCTTCAGTCCTGCTCCTCCATCAGTCTTTTCTGCATCGGTCCTCTCTCTTAGTCTCTCCATGCAGTCTCTCTGCATCAGTCTCTCTTCCTCAGTCCTCTCTCATCAGTCTCGCTTCCGCAGTCCTCTCTGCCCCAGTCTCTCTGCCTTAGTCTCTCTCATCAGTCCTCTCTCATCAGTCTCATCTCCTGCAGTCTCTCTCGCTTACAGTCTCTTGCATCAGTCTCTCTGATCAGTCTTTCCTCAGTCTTCGTCTCCTCGGTCTTCTCTCATCAGTCTCTCTCCATGCAGTCTCTCTCATCAGTCTCTCTCCTCATCTGCTGCTGCATGCCCTCTCGCTCATCAGAACTCTCTCCTCAGTCCTCTCTCGGCTCAGGTCTTCTTTCCCTCAGTCTCTCTCATGCACTCTCCTCATCAAACTCTCTCGCTCAGGTCTCTCTCCTGCAGTCTTTCTCGCTCAGTCTGCTGCTCATCAGTCCTCTGCTCCTCAGTCTCTGCTCCTCAGCTCTCTCCTCAGTGTCTCTCATCAGTCTGCTCTCCTCAAGTCTCTGCCTCAGTCTCTCTCCTCAGTCTTCTCTCATCAGGTCTGCTCTCCTCAGTTCTCTCTCCTCAGTCTGCTCTCATCAGTTTCTCTCGCTCACGTGTCGCTGCTGCATCAGTCTCTCTCCTCAGTCTCTCTCATTACGGTCTCTCTCAATCACTCTCTCCTCACAGTCTCTCTCATCGTCTCTCTCGGCTCAGTCCTCCTCTGGCCTGCAGTGGTCTCATCGAGTCTCTCTCCTCAGTCTCTCTCAATCGGTCTCTCTCCTCAGTCTCTCTCCTCAGTCCTCTCTCCCTCAGTCTCTCTCATCAGTCTCTCTCAATCAGTCCTCTCTCCTCAGCTCTCTTCCTCAGTGTCCATCAGTCTCCGTCTTCATCAGTCTCTCTCATCAGTCTCTCTCCTCAGTCGTCTCTGCCATCAGTCTCTCTCTCTGCCCGTCGTTGCTGCATACAGTCTCTGCTCCTGCAGTCTCTCTCCTCAGTCTCTCATCATCGGTCTCTGCTCATCAGTCTGGCTCGTCTCAAGTTGCTCTCGCTGCAGTCTGCTCTCATCGGTCTCTCTTCTCAGTCTCTCTCCTCAGTCTCTCGTCATCAGTGCTCTGCTCAGTGCAGTCTCTCTCATCAGTCGCTCTCTCATCAGCTGTCTCTCTTCTCAGTCTCTGCTCCTCAGTGCTCTCTCATCAGTCTCTCTCCCTCAGTCTCGCTCTGCCTCAGTGCTCTCTGCCTCAGTCTCTCTCATGCAGTCTCTCTTCTCAGTCTCTCTCATGCAGTCCTCTCTGCCCTCAGTCTCTCTCCCTCATTTCTCTGCTCGCTCAGTCTCTCTCATTAGTCTTTCTGCCTCCAGTCTCTCTCATACAGTCTTGTCTCATAGCGTCCTCTCTCCATTAGTTCCTCTCTCATCAGTCTCTCTCCCTGCCAGATTTCTGCTCATCAGTCCCTCCTTCCTCCAGTCTCTCTCGCCGCCAGTCTCTCTCTCTTAGTCTCTCTCATCAGTTCTGCTCTCATCAGTCTGCTCGCTCATCACTCTCCATCATCAGTCCTCTCTCGCTCAGTCCTGCTCTCCTCAGTCCTCTGCTCATCAGTCTCTCTCATCAGTCTCTCTTCCTCCAGTCTCTGCTCCTCAGTCTCTCTCCTCAGTCTCTCTCCCTCGGTCTCTCTCCTCAGTCTCTTCTCCTCCAGTCTCTCTCCTCAGTGCTCCTCTCCTCAGCCTCTCTCCTCAGTGCTCTCTTCATGCCCGTCTCTCTTCTCAGTTTTTGCGCCGTCGCAGGAAGAGGACGATTTCCTCTGCGTACGATGACCAATGTCCAGTTTGGCTTTTGCTTTAGGTCCGCAGCGGGGTCGGGGCCGGCGTCAGCGCAATGACCACTTCCGCGCGCGACCGCCCGCAACACCAGCCGCCACCGTCCATCACGTCGATGATGTTCGGTTCCATCAATAAGAGAAGTCCGCAGTCAGGGGTCAAGAACGACCGGGGCATGAAGATGGTGAGTACGGGGCAACTGTCACAGCCGCCGAAATCTTGCCTCATTATAGTCATACGCAAGATTGTACCTATTTTGTAAATATAGCATTTATTTATGTGTAGCTATTTCAGCCGAAGATAGACAATTAAGATAGCAATGAATAATAGAACAATTAATGAATATTTAGAATCCCGCGGTGGGCGCATGCTTCCTTTCGCCATTGTTACAGGCGTTTATGGGAAAATAATTCAGCTTGGCAGCTATATCTGAAATCTATTTCGTATACCCTTAAGCATTAATATATGCCATTTTGAGTGCTTTTTACCAGCAAAACGCCACACTCTTGCACATATGCTGCCTCATAATAACACAGCTCAACAATAACAATGTTGTAGGCACAGTAATACACTGGCTCTTGCTAACCGCGCGCCATCCTCCAGTTTTGGCTCCGTGCCCACCGCTCTATATGTAGCATGCACGTATCACTTTCTGTTCCATACAATTGTGTTCAACGTAAGGCTTATTAA